CCAGCAATGGGCAGAGACATCTGACAACCCACACAGCACAGGGAGAACATGCAAACTCCATGCAGACAGTGACCTGGGTGGGATTTGAACCGGGGACCCCAGTGCTGCCCATCCTAAATACTTGAAGCGGGGATGCTTTGGCTGGACATAGGCCGCCATTTGGAAGAAAGTGCACCTGTCACTCACACACGATTCAGTGAGACGAGACATGGGTAGAAACCCGCCAATCAGCAGATCCGGGAGGACGTTGGATGCGAATCTCAATTTGTAAGATCTGACCTTGCCCCGCCCCCTTTGTTGGCCTAGCTGACCAATGGGGAGACGCCAAGCACAACTCCTAAACCTTCTGCTTCCCACACCTCTGGACGGGCTCAAGTTTTGTGGAGGTGACTACAATGGGCGGCGGGGGATGAGGACCACGTCCTGGCTGTGTGCTCGGTGTCACCCCTCCGGGTCTCCATTGTTCTGCAATTAGAACTTTCCGGATATATTTCACCTCCTGTTAACCATTTCCCTCCCGGCGGGTTCTGGTTGGATGGAGCTGTGCTGTCGCAGTGACCGGTTCCCGGGACGCCCGGCAGACAATTCACAAGGAGAGGTTTGTATGTCCTCGGCCCATTCTTCATCATAGAACGCATGGAGCTGGTTCTGGTTCTGTAGATGACCCGTCTGGTTCTGTCTCACCGACGGCTCATACAGGACTGACCTCCATGACGCCGGGTCTTCCCCAGCGCGGCCTCACGTTGGATCCATGTCACCGGGGAAGACGTTGGCTTTGCTGGGGGTGCTGCGTGCTCATCATTCACACAGAGACCCCCATGGACTCCATATTGTCCCCCCTGAGAGGAGATTGGGTCTCTTTGATGCTGCCGGAGGGATGAGGTAACAACATGGAGGATGGAGGTCTCGCGTATAATCCCCTTTATCGGGTGTATACCTCCTCCGGGGTCCTATAATAAATCCCCTTTATCGGGTGTATACCTCCTCTGGGGTCCTATAATAAATCCCCTTTATCGGGTGTATACCTCCTCAGGGGTCCTATAATAAATCGCCGATATCGGGTGTATACCTCCTCCTGAGTCCTATAATAAATCCCCTTTATCGGGTGTATACCTCCTCCGGGGTCCTATAATAAATCCCCTTTATCGGGTGTATACCTCCTCCGGGGTCCTATAATAAATCCCCTTTATCGGGTGTATACCTCCTCCAGGCCCCGCTCCCTGCATTGGGGGGCTTAGAAGATGAGCAGATAAGAGGATGAAGGAGGCAGCGAGATAAGATCCTGATTACTGAGAGATTATTGGATCCCACTGAGCTGACAACAACCGACCACCTCCCGCCCTCTGCACCCCATCCCCCGAGCGTCATCTCTGTCCTGCAACCGCGTGTCCTCCCCTCTGTCTGTATGTAGAATGTTCTTCTCCTGCCCCGTGACCTCGCTCCCTTCTCCTGCCCCGTGACCTCGCTCCCTTCTCCTGCCCTGTGACCTCACTCTCGGCCTCCTTGGCTGTGGTTCTCCTGGTTGGTCCTCCCCCGTCTGTCCTTATGACATCATGGGCCTCCGGTTCTGGTCCGGAGGGGTGGCAGCCTTGTGAAGTCCATTCATGGAGGATGTCCGGACCTAGAGATTGGCGCCTCTGCTCCATGAGCTCGCCCCGTAGAGTGGAATATATTTTTGGGGCGCTCGTGGTTCTGCCGTCTCCTCTCCATCGCACTCCTTCCATGGAGGTCCGGGAGATAAGTTACGGAGGACAGTATTGTTTACATGCGTCATACTATCTACATACAAAGCATGCTTCTCGTCACGCTTGTCTCAGCTCCGTCCTCCCGGCGTCATGTCTGCAGACTTTCATACTCCATGTGTATCCTCACGTCTCATCCTCCCCGTGTCCTCTGATGGGCGCCCCGGTATGTTGTCTGTGGTGCAGTGCTGTCTGCGTGCAGTGACCTGGAAATGACGCGTCGGATGGTTGGCGCGGCCGATCCCCGCGTACGTGACTTCATTGTTCTTCATGTCTGACAACGTAGACGCGCGTTCACCGGAACTCACCGCCAAATCACCCGTTACAATCACCTGTGTGCTGAATAACGAGATCCTGTCACGTAGTAGAGTTTGGTGGTCTCTGGGAAGGTGGGGGGGCGTCCGTGATTAAAGCCTCCGTAGACATGGCAGATGATCTTATCACACATGGGAGGGGGGTCCCTGTAGAGGGGTT